AGAAAACAGCCCCAAAATGACCCAAGATTTGAAGAAATTGATTAAAAAATGTGAGGAAACAACCCCAAAGTGTGAGTAAACAACCCCAAAATGAGAGGAAACAACCCCAAGTTCATCTGGGATTTGAAGAAATTAATCCAAAATGTGAGGAAACGACCCCAAAATGTGAGGGAATGGGCCCAAAACCACCAAAAATGTAAAGAAACAGCCACTCACACCCCTGTAGATACCAACATCCCCCAGTGTCCCTCACTGCCCTCCATTGCCCTGAGTCCTCTAGACCCTAAATCCCCTAAAAATCCTCAAAATCCCCAAAAACCCCCCCAAAAAACCCCAAAACTGCCCCAAAATCCCCCATACCAATATCGAGGGTCCACAGATCCCACAGCCTGCAGCCGCTCATGGCCCCCAGTGTCCCGCACACCTTCCACTCCTCCGAGTTCTCCAGACCCCAAACACCCCCAAATTCCCCCAAATCCCCCCAAAACCCTTTAAAAATCCCCAAAACTGCCCCAAAATCCCCCATACCGATATCCAGGGTCCATAAATCCCCCAGCCTGCAGCTGCTTATAGCCCCCAGTGTCCCTCACACCTTCCACTCCTCCAAGTTCTCCAGACCCCAAATCCCCCAAATTCCCCCAAACCCCCTCCAAACCCCACAAAACCCCTTAAAAACCCCAAACCTGCCCCAAAATCCCCCATACCGATATCCAGGGTCCACAGATCCCCCAGCCTGCAGCTGCTCATGGCCCCCAGTGTCCCTCACACCTTCCACTCATCCAAGTTCTCCAGACCCCAAACCTCCCCAAAACCCTTTAAAAACCCACAAAACCCCTTAAAAACCCCAAACTGCCCCAAAATCCCCCATACCGATATCCAGGGTCCATAAATCCCCCAGCCTGCAGCCGCTCATGGCCCCCAGTGTCCCTGACACCTTCCACTCCTCCGAGTTCTCCAGACCCCAAACACCCCCAAACCCCCCCAAATCCCCCACAAAACCCTTTAAAAACCCCAAAACTGCCCCAAAATCCCCCATACCGATATCCAGGGTCCACAGATCCCCCAGCCTGCAGCCGCTCATGCCCCCGTAGATGACGAGGCGCGAGCGCCGCCCGTCGCGCTCCGTGTACACCACGGCCGTGTGGGACTCCCGGGGAGGGGGCAGCACCCCGTAAGTGATGGGGATGTCCCAGGCCAGCACCCCCGAGCCCGGGCGCAGCTCCAGCACGTACAGGTCGTTCAGGTAGCTGAGGAAAGGGATACGGGGTCAGGAGATCCCATAAAAGATCCTAAAAGGGCGGTTGGATGTGTGGGATTGGTCTAAAAGGTCCCTTAAATCCCATAAAATGCACCCAAGATGGTCCCAAAAACACCGGGGCCATGGGTGCAGGTGTTCAGATGTCTGTAGAAGGGATTGAGATCTGGACACCCCCAAAAAAAATCCTAAAATATGTGTTTGGATGTGTGGGACTGGCCTAAAAGGGTGACCAGGGACATGGATTGGCCTAAAAGATCCCTTAAATCCCACAAAATGCACTCAAGATGGTCCCAAAACCACCTGTGTCTATGTGTACAAATGTTTAGATATCCGTAGAA